ATTTTTGGTGATCAATAGTTTGATATTGATTAGAAAGAAAAAGGTGAAGTCTGGCCAAGTTAATAATAATTTGGAATCATTTCTTGATAGAATAAAGAGAAATGAAAAAGTATGAGTTAAATATTTTTGGGTAGTTGGAGTATTTAAGGGTAGACGATATGTTGATCATTTTCATATAGAAATCAATAGCAAATTATTTTTGTATAATATATATAGAAATCGATCATCAGAATGTAAATCTAGAATTTTCTATGATTTTCTACATATATAGATAATATAATTTTTATTTTTTTTGATTTTTTATTTTACCCAATACAACCAAGTATTTATTTGTACAACTGAATTTATGTCTTCTACTATTTCTTCTATAACCAAATTACATATTACGTGAGCTGTATTAGCTTTTTTATCTAAAAAAATAGTTTGTTTTACTAAGCCACGACAGGTTAGATCAGCCAATGCTAATTTGGCAAGTGCTTTTATATTTAGTATTTTTGGCTTTTCACGTTTATTAAGATCTAACAAATTTAATTTTTTATTTTGAAGTCATGTATTTTTTGCAAGACAAAAAACATCCACAACATCTAAAAGTAGAATTGTCTTATCATTATTTTCGCATAGCAAGGATACCATGTTTAAAATGTATAAAATTTCTATTTTTACATCTACTTGTTTTGCACAGTCTTTTATACAGTTTAGACAATTATCACACATGTCACAAGCTAGTGGGATCGGATCTTCTGGCCAGTTGTAATATTTTGAGATTTGCTAAAATCGGCATTCATAAGAGGTAAGGCAATAATACATTACCTGAACAATTGGAGTTGTGCTTTGTTTAGATATAGCTTTCGAGCAATGGTATGCTCATCATTGTCTTTATTGCTACAATTTAGATATGTATGAGAATCTGTTTAGTAAATTCTTGGCAAATCAATAAAAATCTTATTTTTACCTCATTCTATTGTCAGAAATAATAGCATAGTTGATGCGAACATCCTTCTTTGTATAAAGAATTACATATTTAGCACCATGTTTTTGGTTCCGTCCAGCTTGGCCCAAGTTCTGAATAAGGTCAGCTATTGGTAATAATATTAATTACTATTATTTTTTTATGAAAATTTATCTAACAGAATATGTGGATCTTCTTTAGTATAGGTGGGCATACATAAATTATTACAAAATTATAATATATAAAATCTATCTAATTTGAACCAAATTATATTCTAATCCTAACCCTAACTTTAACAATTCATAAAATTACTTAAATCAGCCACCGCCTCTAAAATTATGATGTCTTCCACTTCTTGTGGGCCATTTTTAGAGGAGAATGATATAAGTGGACGGGTGGTCAAGTCCATTTATACGAAGGACCAAGATAATGATAGTCAGACCAAACGTACATGGCAGACTATGGAATCCTTTGCAGCTGTGAGAACCGAGCTTAAAATGGCGAGCGACCCTTTAGAAGAACTTCCATCCAAGTCATCATCAACATCATTAGACCCCTATGACTTAAAAATATGCTATAACAAATTTCTTGCCTATTACAAACTTCCTCTACTAAGAGAACCACAAACTATT